TCCCACCTCCTCCTCCATCTCCTCCTCCTCTTCCTCCTCCTCCACCTCCTCCTCCATCTCCTTCTCCTCCACCTCCTCCTCCTCCATCTCCTTCTCCTCCTCTTCCTTCTTCTCCTCCTCCATCTCCTCCTCTATCTCCTCCATCTCCTTCTCCTCCACCTCCTCCTCCTCCACCTCTTCCTCCTCTTCTATCTCCTCCTCCTCCTTCTCCTCCATCTCCTCTTCCATCTCCTCCTCTATCTCCTCCTCCTTCTCCTCTTCCTTCTCCTCCTCCATCTGCTCCTCCATCTCCTCCTCCTCTTCCACCTCCTCTTCCACCTCCTCCTCCATCTCCTCCTCTATCTCCTCCTCCTCCTCTATCTCCTCCTCCTCCTCTATCTCCTCCTCCTCCTCTATCTCCTCCTCCTCCTCTATCTCCTCCTCCTCCTCTATCTCCTCCTCCTCCTCTATCTCCTCCTCCTCCTCTATCTCCTCCTCCTCCTCTATCTCCTCCTCCTCCTCCTCCTCCATCTCCTTCTCCTCCACCTCCTCCTCCTCCACCTCTTCCTCCTCTTCTATCTCCTCCTCCTCCTTCTCCTCCATCTCCATCTCCTCCTCCTCCTCTATCTCCTCCTCCATCTCCCATCTCCTCCTCCTTCATCTCTTCCTCTTCCTCCTCCTCCATCTGCTTCTCCTCCTCTTCCTTCTCCTCCTCCATCTCTTCCTCCATCTCCTCCTCCTTCTCCTCCTCCTCCATCTCCTCCTCCTCCACCTTCTCCGCCCCCACTCCCCCTTGTCCTCTCCTCTTCCCCTCCTGCCTGCCTTTTCCCATAGGAGCAGCCCGGGCACTTTCTGAGTTAATGTCTACCATCGTAAGTGGTCCTGGACATGTTTGTTAGAGCCTCATGTCCAACATTCTCTTCCAAATGCCATCGTATTTTGTCAGGAAGCAGGGTCTGCTCCCATCTTTGTACCCATGTACTAGAATCGATACAGGCGAAAGCACTTTTATTCAACAACCGTGTGTGTGCACACACACGCACACACAAAGGAGGGGGAAACTCTGATTCCCATTGCATCATCAAGAAATCGCCAGTGTAGTGCTTAGCTGGCCGCGTCGCATTTTCCTCAGCCTTTCTTATTGCAGCAGGAGTGTAATCAACACAGCACAGCAGGGGAGTGAAGAGCTTAGCCTCCGAAATCACACAGGCTTGGACTTGAATCTTGACCTGGCCTCTTACTTTCCTTGAAAACTTAAATAAGTTTCTTTACCTTGCTAAGCTTCTTATGCTCCTTCAGTAAACTAGAGCAAATGATGATGCTGCTACCTTGGATCATCATGAGAATTAAATGAGATACCACATATAAAGCGTGAAGCTCCGTGCCTGACACATAGAAAATGCTTAGGAAATGCCAGTACTGTTAATGGAGAAAAGAGCAACCCCTCAGGTGCCACTTGTCACTATGGAAGCTTGTCTTTTTTGTATGCCATGCACCTTCCGTACCTTCTGCCCCTCGGCCTTCCCCACCCTCTTCCTACGTACAAGTCCCGGCTGTTGGCAGACACAGTGTCTCCAAACATGGGCCTCACATAGCACATCCACGTCCACCCTCCACCAGCCAACAAGGCCTTTATGGGAGCTCCTCTGAGCCCAGCGTGGGCTGGACTCAGTAGGCAAGAGGGTTTTAGTGAGGCCCCTTCCCTGCAAGGAGTATATAAGACTGTCCCGAAAATCCAGTCACAATAGGCCCCCAGATGAGAGATTTGGCTTGGTTCCAGTGCTACAATTTTGATGTCCTCTCAACCTCTTTAAATGACATTCTTTTTTAGTCTTTTTTCCCAGTAGTACTACGTGGGAGTCAAGAAAGGAGAAGACACTATTAATTTTCAGAATGGAGAGGACCTCAGATTCTTTGCTATCCCAAGAATGTATTGTCCACATCAGGCCCAGCATCCAGGCCTCTCTGTCCTCTGGTCCTTGTCTGTTTCAGAGGGCCACATCATTGCTTGTGGAGACCTGCATCAAAGTGTCTTCAAAAGCAGCGTAGGACGGATTTCAAGACCCATGTCCACAGGGAAGCTAGTTAATGACACTGAATGCTGCTGCGTGTCAGGATTCCTGAGTCTGTCCAAATCAATGCTCACATCAGATTGGCTTGTGGATTGGACCTTTCTTGTGAGCAAAGGATTATATTATTAAAACATTTCACTTTCTCTTACTTTAAGAAAAGGAAAGAGAGTTCCATTATAAGGATGGCAGGGGTATTCTCCATCAGTGCTAGTTCTGGTTTTTGCAGTCTCACTGAAGAGTTGGCAGATCTAACTAATTAAGCTTGCCTTGTGAGCAAGAGCCAGGACTGTTACTCAGGTCAGTGGTGAAGATGTGTCCTTGGTAAGGTACTCACTTAACACGCTAAGCCTTGATTTTCCTAATCTGTAAAATAGAATGATAACTCAAAGAGTTAGTGGAAGGATTAAGTGCATTGTTACATGTGGAGCAATTAAAACCTGCCTCTCATAGTGCACACGCTAAGCATTATCTGGCAAATGTTTGTATTGTCAAATCTAAGGGGAGCAAGGAGGCATTCTTTTGGTCATGTTGCTGAGGACCAAGGAAGTAGCGATGCTCCGGGAGTACACTGGAGATCTCTACAGAGAATTCAAAACTTCACAAATACTCATTGCAGACAGGACAAGAGCAAGGGAGGCACTGGAAAATGCTGAGGAGATTTAACTGGTAAGGTGCAAAATGAGGAGACGATGCTGCAGACGGGTAGCCCAGGAACTTCAGAAGAATCTCCTTCCTGGGATGAAGGGAGGGGTCGTCAGGGTAGCAGGTGTCCAGACACTGGTCCCTGGGTCTGGCCCTGCATGACCCCTGAACACGTCAGCCAGCATGTCACTGATGCCCAGCTGTGCTGGTTTTCTCCCCTCTGCCCCTTCTCTCTGGATGCCCCTCATGGAACCAGACATAGAAGACCCTTATGATTGCAAGAAATGCAGGATGAGCTTCCCCACCCTGCAGGACCACCGGAAGCACATCCACGAGGTGCACTCCAAGGAGTACCACCCCTGCCCCACGTGCGGGAAGATCTTCAGCGCCCCGTCCATGCTGGAGCGGCACATGGTGACCCACGTTGGAGGGAAGCCCTTCAGCTGTGGCATTTGCAACAAGGCCTACCAGGTGACCCTGTGCCACTCGGGGCTCTTCCTCTAGTCCCTGTTGACTGTCCATGCTGTCCTCCCTAAGTCCCGTGTCTGGCTCAGCGAGGCTGGTGGACCATCCTTACTTCCGCTGGCGGAATGCAGCTTGCCTTGAACACTCTGTGCAGTGGGGGCGCTGTATGTGGAGCAGGGTTCTTACACCTCTTCTTTGAGATCTCAGCTTTGTCATGAGCCGAGTGCTGCTTTTCCCATGATGCTCATGTTCTGTAGAACCTATCGATCCCTTGCATCCAGGGACTCGAGAATGACAATGGGAAGTACAGCACCCCCAGAATTACCTCGTTAGCACAACTGTTGTGTGTTTCTCCAGGAAGAGGTCTCCTTGTTTACCTTGGAATGTTGTATGTAATTAAAGTGGAACCACATATAGAAGTAGAAAGGGAACCCTAGCTATCAGACTCTCTAAAACCACAGAGAGAAGACGAGTTCTCACTGGCATCTAAAAGATGGGACCATAGACAGGGAGGCACACAGCAGCTCATTTCAGCTCAGTAAAGACCGAGTTTGCCTCTGTGCCGAGCCTTCTGCTGTGACGTTAGTGTCAAGAGCTGAGTGAGGCCTTGTCTTGGTCTCAAGCAGACGTGGAGTTGTAGGGCCAGAGCTCCCGGTGCTGCTCTGGAGCCCGAGGAGAGGAGCGCCTGCCTCTGGAGAAGAGCAGCACGTTCTCAGGCAGCCGGCTCTGCCAGGCCTGGGCCTCTGAGTGGGGAAGGGTGTTCAGTCAGAGGCTGGGGTTTGAATCCTGGCCACACTGTTTACTAATCCTGCGACCTTGGGCTTCAACTCCTGCCTCGCTAGAGAGAGCCTAGGACCTCCGCTGTGGGTCTTCTGTGAGGAGAGAGTCTATGAAGGACTTGCTGAGCCCTGGCCTATCGTGACCTCCCACAAACACCAGCCCCTCACGTCAACATGCAGTGTGATGTGTAGGCACGAGAGTATGATTCTGGACCCCCGGGCTTACCTGAGAATGTTCCTCTCCCTCGTGAGAGCCTTGTTAGCCCTCCCACTTGCTGGGACTACCTAAGACCTAACATTGGCCTCCTTTCTTGCAGCAATTGTCTGGCTTGTGGTACCACAATCGGACCCACCACCCTGATGTGTTTGCTGCTCAGAACCACAGCTCTTCCAAGTTCTCATCACTGCAGTGCAGCTCCTGTGACAAGACCTTTCCCAACACCATTGAGCACAAGAAGCACATCAAAGCAGAGCATGCAGGTGGGGACCACGGCCAGAAGGGAGGCGATGAGAGGGTGGGGCTTGCTCACCTGGCAGCCTGGGTCCTGTCCAGAAATCCCAGCCCGGGACCGAAGTGTGCGGTGCCGTGGTAATGACCTTTGTCCCGCCCCAGCATGCCTGCAGAACGCAGCACCGATCCGTCAGTAGCAGTAGCTTGAGTGGCAATGGCTCTCAAACCCGGAAACCTAGAGCAGAGTAAGCTCCTCCCAGCCCCTGAGAAGGGTGTCAGCTCTGGTGGCAGGCACGCCTAGGTGGGCACCTGACTCCAGAGCTTCGCTGCATGATTTCAGCAAGTGAGTTCTCTTTCCTTCCTTTCAGAACGGGAGTTATTAAAACCCACCTTGCAGGTAAATTAGGGGATAATCACTACAGCTGTCAGTTTGAGAGCATTTCCTGTGTGAAGCGTGAGGGTGTACTTTCTCATTGAATTCTCACAGTCCGCCCTGTACCCAGCAATTTGGAGCCAGATCTGGTACCCTGCCAGTCCAGTGTGCCAGCATACCACAGGGAGACGGCTCCTGGCGCTGGGTAGATGCTCTGCTGAGTGCTGGCCATCGCCCCACTCCCCGGCCCTGTCACTCCCCGCCTTGGAGTCTGTCTGGGTTCTCGCCGTAGCCTCTTGCCATATGCCCTTCACAGATATGAAGTTCCACGAGTGCGAGCAGTGTAAGGAGCTCTTCCCCACGCCAGCTTTGCTGCAGGTCCACGTCAAGTGCCAGCATTCAGGTCAGTGCCCTCTGAGCTCAGAAGACAGCAACATCACGTAACTGGCTCTGCTTCCTCGTCTGTAAAACAGCATCAGTGGTAGTGCCCGCATCAGAGGGTGACTGTGGAAAACTAACTGCCCGGCACCGAGAAGCATCCCTCAAGCCAGTAGCAGCTACTGTCATTGTTAGTGTTGTGTTTTATTGAATCTAAAATGCCAGGTATAAAGTGTACCATTTTTAAATGTGGTTTAAATTTATTTCTTCAGGGACAGAACAGCATCCCCCAGCAGTGTCCTCCTGTCACTTTGCACCCCCAGCCTGTCGGCCCAGATCATGGGCATGTATGTGCACCTGGCATGCTCAGGGAGGTCCCTGGATGTGAACCCAGGACCTTTTCCATGTGCCTTTTTCTTGTTGTTTGAGAGGTTTTGCCTTAGGGTACATCTGCTTGCCGGGGAGAGAGACAGACAGAAGGAAAGTGAGAAATCATCCCCCAGGGAGATGACCATGCCGCAGTCCCTTCTCCTCCATTCTCCCAGGATCTTGGGCACACGTGCATATGGATCCGATGTGATTTTCAAGCCACCAGCTCTGGGACTTGAACTGTAGGTGGCCATGTAGGAGTCCAGAGACGTCACCTGTACGACATCTGCTGGCCCCCGTGTGCCATTTTTAATGAACTATTAAGGAAGAAAAACTGCTGCCAACTAAACTGTACTTTCTTATCCTTTAGAATTTGTAGGTCCTCTTAAGTGCTGTTTAGGACTTAATTAGATATTTATCATGTCATTCACTGTGTGTATGTGCATAAACAGGAAAACATCAGACACTGATCACCGGGGGAACCCAGCTTCTCAGAGACATTCAGTTTAGGTGGTTGGCACGTGTGTTTCTCTGCACAGTGCTTGACTCCACCATCGAGTGAGTGTTTGTGACACTCGGTGTGAAACCCCACCCAGCGGAAAGCCATTGGTCTTGGTCTTTTGAGCATTCTGTAAAATGAGTCCTCTGTTGATTCTCACTTTGGAAACGTAGCTAACCCTTTATCATATACCTCTTTCATTCTAAACCTTTGGTGCCTGGGAGCCAGAGACATGTACCACGCCTGTCTGAGGGATTTCTGTTCAAGCCCAGACGCTGATTCGAGGCTCGATGCTGCCTTCGACGTTGGCACACGTGCCGTCGCTGACGGCTGCACCAACTGCCACCCAGCCCTCAGTAGTCGTGAGGTGCGCTGACCCCATTTCAGCGATGGTGCGGTGTGCTCAGAGTAGATGAACTGCAGTTGTCATCAGCGTCATTGTCTGCAGTTGGACGACTGTTGGGCCCCAGCCGAGACAGATTTGGCCTGAATCTAATGCTAATGACACTGGAGTTTGAGGGCCCCTCACTCACATGGGCCTTTCCAAGCTCCGCATCTAGTTCTGTATTTGTCACTTTGTATTTTTCTTAAAAGGCCTCTCTCCCTGGTCTTGTATCTCAGTCGTTCACCCCACAGCCGCCCCTGTGCCCTTCCTGCAGGGTCCCAGCCATTCAGGTGCTTGTACTGCGCGGCCACTTTCCGCTTCCCTGGGGCACTGCAGCACCATGTCACCACGGAGCACTTCAAGCAGTCGGAGAGCACCTTCCCCTGTGAGCTCTGCGGGGAGCTCTTCACCTCCCAGACCCAGCTTGATGGCCACTTGGAATCTGAGCACCCAAAGGTGGTGGGCACTGAAACCCAGGCTGCGGCCTCACAGATGGTGCAGGTGAGTCTGGACCATGTGATGCACGGAACACTAACGTGGGCCTCTTACGGCTTCCCTGAGGTCACCCTGTCACAACACCGGCCTTACTCTTTCAGGCTCTCTGGAAGGTCTCTGAAGTAATATATTCATGAGTAAGGTTGTCTCCCTGAATCTGTTTTTTATTTTTTTAAATTTTGCTAGAGGGCACATGTACTCACCAGAGAGAGTCAGAGAGGGGAGAGTTAGAAATTTCCCCTTGAGGATGGTCACACCGCAATCCCTTTTTCATTTCTGCCTCCTTTTGAGATTTGGGGCACGCACATACGCACACCTAGGGTAATTTTTCAAGCCATCGAGGTCAGGACTTAAAGTACCTAGTCAGCATGAGGAACCTGGTGACTTCGCCACCACACTATGGGCTGGTCGTCCCTGGACTTCATACGGAACAGAGCAGAAAAGTCTGGTCTTCGGGAGCCACATGCAGAGGTGGCACTTACGGAGGAAGCCTGGAACAAGGCTTCTCACAGGAGAGCAACCTTGGTTCCTCTTCCCTGTTCACACATCCCCACCTTCCGAGAAGCTGTGGGATGCGGTGAGAGTTGCGGGAAGCCCTGGGGAGGGCGGGGACGCCTGCAGTGGAGACACGTGGGCCCCTCCTGGGCTGGCACGGTGCACATCTGCACGTGCCAGACCTCGGCCGTGCTGGGTGGGAAGGCTGCCGCCACTTTCGTTTCCAGGCTGAGCTCGATCGGGCCTCTCTGGTCCTCTTTCACCCTGCTTCCCATCATCTCCAGGAGGCACAGGTAGAAAAGGAGAAGAGACTCCGTGGACGGGTTGGAGGGGAACTGTAAACCGACTGAGATTTTAACCTGTGGACTGTCACGGTCCATCTCCATAGACCAGGCTTTCATAAACCGTGTTCTCACAGGCTCCAGGGAACGGGAACGGGGGGATGTTAGGTGGGCAGGACTCAGGTACACTTCCACTGCCATATCAGTCAGAAGCAGTGTGCTTTTGTCCTTTTTACATATTAGGCTTCCTTATAAAATGTTCTGGGGAGAAAAAAGGGGGTGGGAGTTTATTCCTAGAAGAGAAAGAAGAAGAGTTTGAAAATACCATGATTGATCCTTCACTCCCATCACACAGAGTTGTCTGTCTTGGCCTCCCTGCTTGTACGCTTGTCTGGTCCCCAGGAGCCAGACTTGTGCCCTCTGGGGTATGCTGCTTTTCAAATGTCGACACCGAGCTGTCCTGGGGTCCAGGTCAGAGGCGCCCACCCGGAGGTTCAGGAAGTAGATAGGTGTGCTTATCCACTGAGCACACTTCTGCCCAAGCTGGGAGGGTCACTTTGACAGAGTATGCAGACGTGGAAGCAGTGTGTGTGGCCTATGGAGGGGCACCTGCCCCGCAAGGCTGGTGGCCGAATTAGTGAGTTGACAGGAGTTCCAGTTCCTCCCCTTCCTCCTGAGCTCTGCAGCCACGTGGCCTCCGAGGCAGACTCTCAGCCTGGTACAGGTCCGAAGACACCACCCGCAGCAGGCCTAGGCTTTGGGAAACCACTCCCATCCCGCCTCTCCAGTGTAGGACCAGCCACCTTCAGTAGCATTCCTCTCACGCGGCACTTACTCCGCAGTGTCATCCTCAAGTCAGGAAAACCCAGTGTGAGACACTGAGCCCGTGTTCACTGGTGTGTAATCACAGAGTCCGGGCACCCTGAGACGGCGTACTGAGCGAAATTACAGCAATTTAGAGCACAGAGTTATTTAAATTGTTCGCCCGCCTTCTCCTTTGCATCATTGGTGTGTTAGACTTGCCTCTTCCCATTAGGCACATGTAATTGCTCTCCTCAGGTGAAAACACAACCATTATCATTACAGCATGAGATGAAAACCATGTAAATTCTGGGGAGCTAACTGCGGACACTGCCCCAGCAGCCTCGCGGTCTTTCCTTTTCAGGTGATCCAGACCCCGGAGCCAGCGGCCCCGACAGAGCAGGTGATCACGCTGGAGGAGACCCAGCTTGCTGGGTCGCAGGTGTTTGTGACACTGCCAGATTCTCAGGCAGCGCAGACCAGCTCTGAGCTCGTGGCGGTGACCGTGGAGGATTTGCTGGATGGCACCGTGACCCTGATCTGTGGCGAGGCCAAGTGAGTGGCCGCTCATCCCGTGGAGAGACTCTCGCATTTGCACCTGAGAGTGATTTCTGCAGCCTGCCCTCTGCCCTCCATCGCTGGCTGCCCTGAGTCGTGAGCGTCTCAAGTCAGCACCAGTCAAAATGGTCCCCTCAGATAACGGCCAGAGACTCAGTGTTCTCCCAGAGCCAGCACTGAGTCATCAACACTGCTGCCCTCCCTTGCAAACAGGCCTGCTTTCCTTTGGGCCTGCCGCTTCAGCCTCTGACACTGTCTGTCCCCAGAGGAGTACTGCTCCTGAAATAGAGTCCGAAGGAACAGTGGGATGGAGCTGTGACCAAGGCGGCCAGGGAGGCGTGGCACCCGGCCACCTTCAGTGGGCAGAAGGGCAGCTAGCAAGGACATGGCCCACAGAGGGTGGCACACACCACCTGACCAGCCATGGAGCCCAGCCTTGGTCATGCTTGGCCCCCTCCTCAAATTGTCACCCTCCTCCGTGCTTGGGTTCCCTGTGCATGTGGTGGCTGTGCCCATCACCCCCCCATGGGGGCTCCCAGGCAGGCAGCATCTTCTGAGTGTAGGGAGCCCTCGGTCCACGCCCAGTCCCACCGCATCAGTAGAGTCAGCATCTCCCAAAACAGCCTGTGGAATGTCTCTGCTAAAAGCGTTCCATGTGAGGCCCTCCAACTGCAAAGACAGCCTCTGCCTTTCCAGAATATTCTTCATGGTGTTCTTCACTATAGTCTGGTTCCTTCGGCTCTTCTTCCAAAGGCTAGGACTTCTCCCCGCCCTGGAGGCCTTGCTCGCTCCCTCTGGAGCACGTAATACAGTAACGGACCAGCCCGGGCAGGCAGTCCCGTCTGCACGTGGGGGCGCAGCTGCCAGCACCCCCAGCTCCGCCTTTGCTAGTGGCCTCCCTGCCTTGTGAGCAGCCTGCTGGCTACGTTCTCCCAGGCTGCCACGCTTAGTGCAGGTCAGTGATCCTTCTGAGCCTGAATGTCACAAAGCTTTTTTTATCTACAGTTCCTAAAATACAATCTGATAATTAATGGTTTGTGGAATTCATTATGAAGTGCAATTAGATGGGTATAGGTTCTTGCCGTTTGGAGAGAATGACTAGCATTTATCTTCTTTTCCTCGATGCCAAAAGGTTGCAGTCTTTAGAGCAGTGTTGACACGCCAGGCAGGGCCCCTACTACACTGTGTGGCTTGGCCCTGCAGAGGGGAGTGCCCCAGGTGATCACTCACCCTCACGCCACAAGCCCACTCCTTCCTTCCAAGTATATCACTGTGCGAGAGGCAGGGGACTGTGTCTGGTAACGCGTGGGCCTTCCATTGCTGCCACGTAGCTTGTACCCTGCTAGGAGAGCTGAAGGTAGAGCCTGGGCACTGACCAGTATGTTTGCTGGCTGGCCGCCTTCGGGATCCAGCTCTGTGCCCGCGGCCCCAGCAGAGCTTCCGCTGTGCACGCCAGCTCAGGCCAGCTCGCCCAGCT